GTTTTTTGTTTCACACACGAAACATGGACTCTAGACAGTGGTCAGAGGACAGCATCAGCAGTCCGGTCTCTCTGGACATCCTGAAGGATCCAGTGACTCTTCCCTGTATTAAGAGCTGCTGGGATCTGGATGATCAGACTGGAGTCTACAGCTGCCCCCAGTGCAGACAGACCTTCACCCCAAGGCCTGTTCTGGGCAGAAACATCATGCTGGCTGAAGTGGTGGAGAAACTGAAGGAGACAGGGCTCAGTGGTCCTCCTGCCCCCAGTCCTGCTGGCCCTGGAGATGTGCTGTGTGACGTCTGCACTGGGAGACAGGTGAGAGCTGTGAAGTCCTGTCTGGTGTGTCTGGCCTCTTACTGTCACTTACTGTCCACTGAAGAGACACCAGCTGGTCGAGGCCACAGGGCAGCTGCAGGACAAGATCTGTCCAGATCATCAGAAACTGCGAGAGGTTTACTGCCGGACGGACCAGACCCACGTCTGTCTACTGTGCTCAGAGACCAGACACAGAGGCCACGACACCGTGTCCACTGAGAGAGAGTGGACTGAGAAACAGGTGAGGACTTGAACCCTCTGCAAGGTGCTCTCTGGCCCAGGAGATACACTGACAACAGTGTACACTAGTCACTATTTTTAACAAGGAGTCTGAAAGTCTGCAGAACGATTCTTAACAAGAATTCTTCACTTGTTTGCTGTCTGCAGCGAACAAGAGCGACAGATTGTGGTCTGACATGTTGCCCCTGGCTGTGTTGTGGGCGGTTTGAACACCTGGGAGACGCAGCTCATCCCACTCGGAGAATCCCACTCAGCCGGATCTGCAGCCCAGCCGAAACCGAAACAGTCCGAGCCACTCTCACGCGGCGTGAGCAGCCCAACTCGGCGCCGTATAGCGTCTCGTATTCGCTCTCAAACACTGCTCAGAAGGACTGAGAACTCTCGAGAGTATATCAGTGACCTTCCTTCCTCCTGCTGGCTGGCGATGGGCGCCTCCGCCTGCCCCCAGACTGTCTCTTACCCTCGCTGAGGCCCTAGAGGGACAGTCCAGCTCGTCACAGGGAAGAGCTCCGGAACACCGCCGGTCCCGTCAGCAAGCGCTTCGGAACGAGGAAAAAGATTGGAGCGCCTAGTGGACACCCACAAGATCAATGGCAAGGGCATGCAGACTCCCCACAGAAGGATCCTCGGGCCAGAACTCAACGCAGACCCAAGAGCTGTGAGGCAGAAGCAGCACTCATTACACCTTTTTATATAAAAATATCCAAAATATAAATATTTTCCATAACACTTTTATATTTTTGCCTGTACAATGCAAAGATCATATTTTGATATTTGATTGTTTGCTGTTACTTAGTTTGATATAATTTTTCATGACCTTGTGCAAAAATCACATTGGACATTATCTTTATGTCTGTGTTTCTCCACAGGAGCAGCTGGGGGCGACACAGAGACAAACCCAGCAGAGACTCCAGGAGAGAGAGGAGGAGCTGCAGGAGCTGAGACAGGCTGTGGACTCACTCAGAGTGGGTATTGACCAGAGGAGTGGACACACAGGCACACATTTCCACAGCTGGACACACCAGTACACTGAGGAAACACCACACACAGTAGAATGTAGTTTGAGTGTTGTCCTGTGTGATAATCCACTGTGTGTCTCCTCACTCAGAGCTCTGCTCACACTGCAGTACAGGACACTGACAGGATCTTCACTGAGCTGATCCGCTCCATTGAGAGAACACGCTCTGAGCTCACACAGCTGATCAGAGCTCAAGAGAGGGCTGCAGTGAGTCAGGCTGAAGGACTCCTGGCGCGACTGGAGCAGGAGATCGCTGAGCTGAGGAGGAGAGACGCTGAGCTGAGCCAGCTCTCACACACAGAGGATCACATCCATTTCCTCCAGGTAACAGCACTGCTCTGGGACTCTCTGCAGTCCAGAAGGGTCTCTCACACAGAGCTCTCCAATGGAGCTGCTCCTGGCTTCTCCCCAGGAATGTGTGCTGGAGCCCAGTGTGTTTGACCGGAAACTCCTCTCTCCTCCCTGCTGCAGAATTTCCAGTCTGTCTGTGTCCTTCCTGGAGCTGGAGACTCACCCAGCATCCCTGTCAGACCCCACTTCTCTCCTGAGGCTGTGAGGAGAGCTGTCTCTGGACTGAAAGAGCGACTGGAGAACTTCTGCAGGGAGGAGTCAGTCAAGATCTCCAGGACAGGTTAGAGGAGAAATACACTGGCATCTTCCTAGAGATCAGCTGACCTGACTGTATTCCCAGGTGCTCATTACAAAGCCTGTCAGTCTGTAATGACTTGGGCCCTGTTGATCACAACCCGATCTCTCTCAGTAGGAGTGATTCATCCACAAGACTCAGTTCCATTTCTCTCTGTGTCTCCCCAGTGAGTGACGTCTACAGTCTGCAGACTCCAGAGCCCAGGACCAGAGCAGAGCTCTTACACTGTGAGTCTGTTTTCACTGAAAAGACAGATTTCCTATTTTATTTTAATATATATATTCCTCTTTGCACAAACACATTATATTACTGACCAAGCTTCACAGTTTTTATTTTCTAGTATTGTGATCTAGAGATGTGCTCTGAAGTTCATCAGAAAAAAAACAGATACATGTTTCACATGTATCTTACAAGCCTCTTTCTGGGGTACGTTTGCAAGTGTGCTTTCAGACTACAAACAATCAAAAGCTATTTTTGTATCGGTTATCAACCGTGTATATCTTTTTTCAGAACTTTAATGTAACCAATTGGACAACTGCAGGAGAGCATGTGTTCACCTGTCACTCCCACTGTGGGCTTGTTCAAGATAGAAAACTCCCACTCCCACTGTGGATGTGTCTGATACAAAGTCACTCCAACTGTGGCTGTGTCCTTTCTGCCCGTTTCTGTTGTTCATCAGTAGATCGATTAGTTGAGCTGTTTAGTCAGAAATAACAGCCAACAGGTTGATGTGCACAGTTCTGTGTGCTGAAGGTATTGAACCTTTGAAGTTCCATTGGTCTGCTCTGTCTGTCTGTCCTCTTCTCTCCAATCAGAAACCCAAGTGTGTATCTTACTGGGCTGTGGGGGCGGGACTCTAGTGGAGATCTGCTCAGGGATTGGTCTGTTCTGCCTGTCTGTCCTCTGACTGTCCTCTTCTCTCCAATCAGATGCCTGTCAGCTCACACTGGACCCCAACACAGCGCACAGACACCTGCGTCTGTCTGAGGGGAACAGGAGGGTGACCTGGAGCAGGGAGCCCCGGCAGTACCCCGATCACCCCGAGAGATTTGATTCAGAATTCCAGGTGCTGTGCAGAGAGGGGCTGTCTGGGACTCGCTGTTACTGGGAGGTGGAGTGGAGTGGGGGATGGGTTTATATAGGGGTCACATATAAAGGACTCAGCAGGAGAGGGTGGGGTGACAGCTCTCGTCTTGGACGCAACGACCAGTCCTGGAGTCCGTGCTGCTCCGGGTCCAGCTGCTCCTTCTGGCACAATAAGGAGAAAACTGC